ACTAGTAGACACAGCATACATGGCAGCAAGAATAGCATCATAATCAAGATCAAAGATAGCAACCCCCGACCTTTGCAGCTCTCCCCAGCGAGGAATCTCAGTTGCGTCAGGGAAGTGGAGACGCCAGGCGTCCGTCAGGCGGCTGAAGCAGCGCTGAGTGGGGTGCGGGCCCCCGCACTGCTCACCCATACGGTCGCCGGTACGCAGGACGTAGGTACAGGGACCAGTACCCCGACCCCGCTGACGCAAAGCGCCTCCTGGGGGCGACGCGCCGAGTGACGGGGCAGAAAACCGCCGCGCGCCTGGGGGCGCACGGCGGGCTGAAAAACCCTCATTTCGACGCCGCGCACCACGGGGCGCGCGGCGGACAGGGAGTAGCAGTAGCAGTAGCAGCGGAAGCAGTGAGGTGGGGCCCACCGGCCAGGAGCATATCGCTTTGATACCATGTGAAAGTAAGGAGTAGTCTTAGGAGCCATAGCTAGGAGAGTCTTAGCTAGGAAGGAGAAAGTTTAGGCAAAGAAGGAGGAGTTGCACTAGCAAGAATGAGGATACAAATAGCAAACCCTAGAAGGGTTGTACTCGCTATAGAGCACCCCACTACAGGCTAGAGCATAATATTCTGACAGGTGTCTGCGAGGTGCTTGCAACAGAAAAAGGTGACATGGTTGTTGCAGCGGAAGAAGTCAAAGGCGTCAAGGATTAATTGTTTGAAAGGTTGTTGCGCCTTTCGTCGGCGGCCTTTTGCTTGTAGCACCAATCGATAGTGTGCCTAGGCTTCTTGCAGTACTTGCAGAAAGTTCCTTTCTTTCCATGCTGCTCCCCTTCAGTTGCTCCGACGTAGAAGACTGATTTCTCCCGCTTGGTCTTCTTCTCGTTGTACAGGTCGATCTCCTTTTGCTTGGAGAGAAGTGTGGCGTGTCAGAATAACGAACCGGAGTGAATGAACTAGCAGCAGGATGGGTACAACTAGGAAATCCTAAATTGGGTTGTACCCCATATGAGCTACCCCACTACACCCTACACAATAAGCAGCACATATGTTTGACACACCCCCATAGGCAAAGTGGGGGAGAACAAGAGGTCACAAGACCAGTTAAGAAAGGCAAAGCAAGCTCAGGGTGGATCACGAAGTCACCACGCATTCTGAGCACAAGCAAATGGCCACAAGGCCAGTTCACATGCAGAGTTATATATATAGAGGAGAACAAACAGGACAGTGATCACAACCTAGCAAGTGTAATCATGTAGGTATAAGTACATAAATCACTGTACAAGCAAAGTCTAAAAGAGAGCAAGTGAGGCCAAGTAGGCACAAGACCTAGAACAGTATAGAAACGCTAATGATCACAAGGCTGAAGTGCCTTGGTGAAGATATCAGCAGTGTTGGCCTGAGAGGCCACGTCAACAAGACGAAGCTGACCACGCTGCTGCAACTCTCAAGCAAGGAAGTAGCGCAGAGCGATGTGCTTCGTCCTGTGCTCCAGTCTGTGCTCCTGACACAAGGCAATCATGGCCTTGTTGTCAACGTACAGAATTGGAGGAGAACGAGGTAGCTCTCCCATGTCCGTCAGGAGGTAGGTAAGCGAGCGTAACTCCTGTGCAGCCATGGCCCCTACGTAGATCTCAGCCTCACAACTCGAGGTGAGAATAGAAGACGAGCAGGTAGACCACTAGGAAACACAACCCGAGTCAAGGCTGAAGGTGTAACCCTGTGACGACCGCTGCGTAGCCAAGTCATCAGCCCAAGAAGCGTCTGCGTGACAAGCGAGGACAGCTCGAGCCCGTCCTCCAAGCACGAGCCCCATGCCCGACGTACTGCACAAGTAGCGCATCACCCTCTTAGCGGCCTTCCGGTGCTCTGGTCGGTGTCTCCCGGGCGCAACATAGCGTGTCAGGATGCTAAGAGGGTAAGCAAGGTCAGATCGAGTGCAGGTCATCAGGTACATGAGGCAGCCCACAAGCTCTGGATACGGGCCATTCGGCTCTACAGTTTCATCCAAAGGCAGAGCTGAGAGCGAGTGACCGGTGGGCAGAGGAGTGGACTGTGGCGAGGAGTACTGGAAGTCGAAGCGCTCAAGGACTTGCTGCACCATGTGTGACTGAGTCAAAGTAATGGTGCGCTGTGCTCTGTCCCGGTTGATCTGCAGGCCAAGATAGCTGCGCAGTTCACCCAGGTCTGTGCACGTGTGTCTCTTCTGTAGCTCCGACTTCATGTGGGCAAATCCAGCACTGTCAGCAGTCGCAAAGACCAAGTTGTCGACGTACCCTATAGAACGGCGGCAACGAAGTGTCGGTGCGCAGAAACATCGATGGATCAGCTGTCAAAGGAGGAAACCCAAGAGCCGCAAGCGTTGTCCTCAGTGTGTCGTGCCACTCGCGAGGCGCATGGCAGAGACCGTAGATTGGCCGCAGGAGGCTCCACTCGGTACCAGGAGGAAACGACCCAGTGAAGCCAGGTGGGCGGCGCATCCAGACCTCCTCGTGCAGGCTGCCTTGTAGGAAAGCAGTGCTGAAGTCAAGATAGTGAAGCTCGAAGTCACGCTGAGTGGCAATGTGCGGCACAACCCGAAGAGTGGTCATCTTCGTAGTAGGGGAGAAGGTCTGGAAGAAGTCAACTCCCTGTTGCTGACTGAAGCCTTGTGCAACGTAACGCGCCTTGAAGACAGGCGGAGAACCCGGTAGCCGCTTCACCCTGAAAATCCACATGCCACTGGCGATGTTCGCCCCAGTTGGGGGAACCTCGTCGACGTAAGTGCCAGTGGACTTCCAGGATGCCATCTCTGCATCCATGGCTGACGGCCACTGAGAGTAGGGACCCCCCAGCCTCCGCAACTGTAGCTTCTTTGCCAAGCGCTTCCCCACTAATACATGCGTTGCTCCTGGGTAGATGATCACGCGTTGTGCCACCAATCCACCGATGGTAATCGCGCCCGGCTCGATAGTTAACACTGTCACTCAGCATGCCATACGCTCATGTGGGTGCCGATATGCCGCGCCTTCCCCATCATCCACTTCGCTTGCTTGACGCCTGTGACCATCCACTGGCCGATCATCTTGGTGGAACAGCTGTCTTTGCGCTCCACTCCGCAAACCCAATTCCTCTCGATGGGGTGGTGGGCCGGATAGGTAGAGGCCGCATGCGAGATAGGGCGTGTGAGAGCATGGCAGAGGAGGGGTGGACCGTGAATGGATGAGGGCAGAATGGGCCACGACGACGATGCAGGCAGGAGAGGTGAGGCGTACACGTATTGCAGGGGGGGGAAGTGGCCGAGCATTTTCAAGTTGCCGGATAAGCCCCACCAGGGGAAAACTCTGCAAAGGAGGCGTGGGCGAGGGGAGCGTGGTCGGGCAGCAGCGGGAGGAGAACAGCTGTTGAACTGCGTTTGTCAGGAATGCGCTGCAAGCAGAGGGCATGCCGGCTTCGCGATGAACATGCTCATGGTGTCTCTTTGTGTGTGTGTGTGTGTGCGCGTGAATGCGTGTGTATGAGTGTATGAGTGAGTGTGGTATGGAGTGAGCTAAGATAACATATGGTATGGAGTGGGCTAACATAACATATGGAATGGAGTGAGCTAACATAACATATGGTATGGAGTGAGCTAACACAATATATAGAATGGTGAAATTTGCGTGAAACTATGCCATGTAGGGCGAGGGAGGCAGGGTGAGGATGTAATGTAAGAAAGCACATGCGCATCATGGTCAGCAGAGGGAAGGGGGGGGGGAGGGGGAGATGGGGGGGGGGGGGGGGGGGAGGGGAGCACGCATGGAGGCGGTTGCTGGAACCGGAACAACACAACCCCAACTCTGATCAAATCATAAACATTTAGGTCTCATGATGGCATGGTGTGGAGTGACCAACGGGGTGTTGGGTTACTGACGGGGTGTGGGGAGACTGGCAGGGTGTGGGGTGACTGACAGGTTCTGGGGTGACTGACAACGTGTGGAGGGTGGTGCAGGCTGTGATGTCCGACAACAATATTCCAAACGTGAATGGTACGTCTGGATCCCCGCCCCAACTGCATGGCATGGCATGACAAGGCATGGTATGGCATGGCATGGCAGCAGCAGGTGGAGCGGATGTCTGTTGCACGCAGACTTAAAACGGATAGAGCTACATGCACGCGTGCAATCTGTGGCCTTTAAAACGCCTCAAGTTGCAATGAATCACTCTCATGTGGACACAACACAAACCAGCGCACACACGCACGTTTTTTTTTTTTGGAAGTGCAAGATACACTATAGTAGCGCATACAAGCATTAACAGTCGTAACTGTAGCTGATGGGCCTAGACAGCAGCCTTCGGTCATACCCATCCTGACATCTTATGGGGGACAAAAAATCGTATGCGGATTGGCCCAGATGGAGGTGAAACCACTGGTCGACGCAAGCGATTTAGCCCAGCTGTCACATACCCTGCTCATGAGGCAAAGTTTGTCTGGATCCAAGCACTCCAGGGTAGAACGTTCCCCCGGCCCCAGCATGATTCCTGCCTGTTTACTTCCCTTTTTTCCCGAAGGTAACCTCTCGTGTGAGTGTAGCCGCCGCAATTTTTCGCAGCACCCTCCTGGACCGAAACCACCCTCTCTCAAAGGCAGTGTCACATCTTTCCACCCATATCTTGTGCAAGGCAATGGCGGTGATCATAGCCTTTGGGAAGCCCGATCGTGGGGTCTCCTTCTGGTACACCAGATCACCTAGCGAAGTGATTTTCTTGCCCGGATTGATCATGCGGAGGGCCTTCAGCAGCCCATGCACCACAGGTAGAATACGAGGACAGCCGAACAAACAATGCTCTGCTATCTCTTCCCCTCCATAGTGCGGGCATGCCACCCCCTCGAGGAGTTTCATCCTCGCCCCGACTTGAAGATTACAACAATGCAGGCGAAGCAGGACATCACGAGCCCAGTTCAGAAGCACTGTAGAGTCTCGCACCCTGATGACTCTTTCCCAGTCAATCACTTACTCCCACTCTTCTAACAATTTTTCTTGCTGCTTCATCAACCGCTGCTGCGAGCAGCGCAGTCGTACTCCGTGCAGAGCTCCAAGCAGCGTAGTCGTACCTCGGGCAGACCGCCCGCACGAATGACCATTCCGCTCCTCACCATCAACAGCTCCACCTTATCTAGAGCAAGAACTGCAGTTGCCTCCGCAGACCCCACCAGGGGCACACCGAAACATTCACATGCGTGCCAGGCATGCCCTTCTTGCACCACCGTCTCCGTGTTCCAGACTCCAACAGTACCTATTCCCTTCACATATGACGACTCCGCCAGAAAATCCTCCCCCGTGATTGGCGCCAGTAATTTCGCCTTCCAAAAAGTTGGGACACTACCGAAAACCTTAAGCGCCTTCCACACTTTCTTGAGCGTGCCCAGCTCCTTCATCAGCATCTTCTCATCCTTGAAGAAAAAAGTACCGTCATCCATCCGATCGACAAAATCGCCGAGTTTCAACAGCTCCTGCCCCTTTGCCGCCGCCTGTCATCCTAATGGCTTTCCCTTAAGGCAGGACCTGCCGATTGAACACCAGCAGCTCCTGCGTGATGTCCCAACGCGAAACCGGGCCTTTCTTTGCTATGCTCGACCTCATGAACACCTCGCAAGTCTGCTATTATCTTATGCTTCGACCTTTGCATGCTTTCAGGAACTCCGGGTGCTCCAGAAAGGGCGGAAGGCAGTAGGAAGGTCAGCCGCCTTTGTTGCCAACCATCTGTAAACACTGCTCCTGTTCAACACCAGCTTCCCCACTCGTCTAGCGACCAGGCCACTGAGTTCCACGAAGGGGTCTCTTACCCCCAGCCCACCATCATTCCGTGGCCTGAAGATCAGCTCTCTGCTCCAAAGCGTGAAGTGGTGCTCCTCCAACGCCCTGTTTCTTCCCAACGGGAGCAACGGGAATTTGTCCTTGTTAACGCGGAGGCCAGAGCGGGCCCCCTCCAGCAGCTTCTCCACTCGACCGATCTACCGCTTTCCTTTCAGCATGAGCGTTGTGTCATCAGCATAGACGAGGTAAGCCAATCTATCACCATAATCATCACAAACACCTAGCTTTTTGCGCTTTGCCTCCTGTCAGATCGGCTCCACTGCACACAAGAAGAGGTAGGGGGCCAGTCAGAACCCTCGTTGAACCCCCTTGCAAACATCGACCCGGTCACCCAACCACTTGTTAACTAGGAGACGGATGAATGAGCCCCCATGCAGACCCTCGCACTATTCGATGAACTTATCCGGGAAACCCATCAGCGCCATCGTGCCAAAGAGGGACGTCCGCGACACGGAGTCGAAACCTTTCTAGAAATCCATCATCAGCAGGTACCAGTCTTCCTTATCATTGTTCGCAGCTTGAATCACATCAGCGACTGTCGACACAGCATCGGATAGCCGTCTGCACGGAAAAAATCCATGCTGTTCCTCAGAGATAACCGTACCCTGCACCTTCTTAATGCGGTTGGCCAACAGCCTTGCAACCACCTTGTAGGAGATTGTCAGCAAGGTAATCGGCCAGTGATTCTGCACCTGCTCCTTTGGCCCCTTCTTATGCAGCAGGCTGGTCACCACCTCCTGCACTTCCTCTAGAAGACCGCCGAGGACACAAACGTTTTTATGAAACCCATGAAATCCCCCCTCAGCAGGTTTCAGTGGCGCTCAAAAAGTTCCTTCTGCAACCTGTAACTGCCCGGAGACTTGTCGCACGCCGTATCCTTCAATGCCTTCCTTACTTCTTCCCCCAACCAAGCTGCCTCCATACCGGTTATCTCATCCTCCTAAAGCACTTTCAGCAGGTCCGTTCTCGATGTGAAGATCGCTGAACAGCTGCAACATCTTGTCATTTTCCCCGGCCGAACCCACCCCCCCCCCCCCCCCCGGGAATTGTCCAGGGTACACACGCACGTGGGACCTCCCGGGCTTGACCCACTCCTGCCCTCATCCTATGTCACTGCCACCTCTTGCCGTAACATCTCTACCGTGCTCCTTACCCCTACCACTTCCGTCACAGCTGGAGCTGCTGGAGTTGCTGGAACCGTTGGTCCCGGAGGTGGTCGTACTGTAGGTACTAGAGCTGTTGGAGCTGGGGGTGCTACTGGAGCTGGAGCTGCTGGAGGTGCTGGAGCCGCTGGTCCCGGAGGTGTTTGTACTGCAGGTACTGGAGCTGCTAGAGCTGGGGTGCTACTGGAGCTGGAGCTGCTAAAGGTGCTGCAACCTCTAGTCCCGGAGGAGCTTGTACTGGAGGTACTGAGGCTGCTGGAGCTAGAGGTGCTACAGGAGCTGGAGCTGCCGGAGCTATTGGAGCTGGAGGTCATGGAGCTACTGGAGCTGGTGGTAATGCAGATGTTGGAGATGGAGACCCTGGAGATGGAGGTGCTGGCCTTGGGGGTGCTGGTGCTGTCGGTGCTAGTTCTGGAGGCGCTGTGCGGCCGCGACCGTACTTCGTTCCACTGCTTCAGCAGGTTCTTGGTCTCTCGCCTTCCACTGACCCTACTCCTCCCTTACTGTGTACACCGCCTGACCAGTCGCAGTCACAGTTACAGCCAGCAACCCCACTGCCTACTCCGTCTCCTTACAATGAGCAGACATAAGGTCTTATAGAGCATCGTGGGCCTGCGTCTCGTCCTGCGTTGCCTGTTCGCGATGTCCGCACTGGTCGTCGTGTTCCGCGTTTGCGTCCTCCTCCTATCCCCGGCACGCACCTTATGGCACTTGTCCTTCCTCTGCTCCAATGCGTGTCCCTCTGCCATCTCCTCCTGTGTCCTCCCTTGCTGACGGTCTGGACCCGGAGTCTAACTCACTTTGTGCTGCCAGCCATACTATCACGCGTCTGCTAGCCACTATTATCACTGACCCTTCGTTTGAATCCACTGCTGCGTCTGCCCTTGTTGCTGAGCTTGTTGACTTTGCTGCTGCCTGTCGCCTCGACTACGTCGCTAGTCTTGTTGCTGAGTCTGAGTCTGTTTGTCCTCCGTCCGTCGGGGTTGAGTGTGCACTTGGCACAGAAGTCCTTGAGAACAGGCAAGAGGACTTTGAGTGTTTTGCAGCTTCTGTACCTCATCTTGTGTCCATGCTGAATGCACCTGAGGGAGACCCGGATGCACCAGACATCCCGACCCCGCACACTTATGCAGAGGTGATCGAGGGTCCCTACTCCTCTCAGTGGCAGTCAGCAAAGGATGCAGAGATGGCGTCCTGGAAGTCGACTGACACCTACGTTGACGACGTTCCCCCACCTGTTGCGAAAATCCTCATGGGCATGTGGATTTTCAGGGTGAAGTGGCCGCCGGGTTCTCCACTTGTCTTCAAGGCGCGTTACGTTCCACAATGCTACAATCAGCGACAGGGAGTTGACTACTTTCAGACACTCTCTCCTACCTCAAAGATGACCACTCTTCAGGTGCACGTCGCCGCTCAGCGTGACTACGAGCTTCACTCTCTTGACTTCAGCACTGCTTTCCTACAAGGCACCCTGCACGAGGAGATCTGGCTGCACCGCCCACCTGGCTTCACTGGGTCGTTTCCTCCTGGTACCCAGTGGAGCCTCCGGTGGACAGTCTATGGTCTCCGCCGGGCGCCTCGCGAGTGGCACGATACATTGAGGATGACGCTTGCGCCTCTTGGGTTTGCTCCTTCGACTGCTGACAAGACGCTGTTTCTGCGCACCGAAACTTTGCTGCCGCCGTTCTACATCCTCGTGTATGTCGGCAACTTGGTCTTTGCCACTGCTGACACTCAGGGACTCACCCACGTGAAGTCAGAGCTGCAGAAGAGATACACGTGCACAGACCTGGGAGAGGTGCGCAGCTATCTTTGCTTGCAGATCACCCGGGATAGAGCACGGCGCACCATTACCCTGACTCAGTCAGACATGGTGCAGCAGGTCCTTCAGCGCTTCCGCTTCACGTACTCCTCGCCACATTCCACTCCTCTGCCTACCGGTCACTCGCTCTTAGCTCTGCCTTCAGATGAGTCCGTAGAGCCGAGTGGCCTGTATACAAAGCTTGTGGGCTGCCTCATGTACCGGATGACCTGCACTCGACCTGACCTTGCTAACCCTCTTAGCATCCTGGCACGCTACGTTGCGCCCGGGAGACACTGACCAGAGCACTGGGAGGCCGCTAAGAGGGTGTTGCGCTACTTGTGCAGTACGTCGGGCATGGGGCTCATGCTTGGAGGACAGGCTCGAGTTGTCCTTACTGGACACGCATACGCTTCTTGGGTTGACGACTTGGCTACGCAGCGTTCGTCACAGGGTTACACCTTCAGTCTTGGCTCTGGCTAAGTTTCTTCGCGGTCTATCTGCTCATCTTCTATTCTCAGTTCTAGTTGTGAGGCTGAGATCTAGACAGGGGCCATGGCTGGACAGAAGTTGCGTTGGCCCACCTACCTGCTGACTGACTTAGGCGAGCCGCCTTGTTCTCCTCCAGTTTTCTACGTTAACAACAAGGCCATGACTACCTTGTGTCAGGAGCACAGACTAGAGCACAGGATGAAGCACATCGATCCGCGTTACTTCCTCGCGTGAGAGTTGCAGCAGGGTGGACAGCTTCGTCTTGCTTACGCGACCTCTCAGGCCAACACTGCTGATATCTTCACCAAGGCACTTCAGCCTTGTGATCATCAGCGTTTCTGTACTGTTCTAGGCTTTGTGCCTACTTGGCCTCACTTGCTCACTTCTTGACTTTGCTTGTACTGTGATCTATATACTTATACCTGCATGCTTACACTTGCTAGGTTTTGATCACTGTACTGCTTCTGCTTTATATAATTCTGCATGTGAACTGGCCTTGTGGCCATTTGCTTGTGCTGAGAGTGTGTGGTGACTTCGTGATCTACCCTGAGCTTGCTTTGCTTTTCTTGACTGGTCTTGTGACCTCTTGTTCTCCCCCACTTTGCCTATGGGGGTGTGTCAAACTTATATGCTGCATGTTGTGTAGGCTGTAGTGAGGTAGCCCATACGGGGTACAACCCAATTAGGGTTTTCTACTCGTACTCCTGCATGCTGCTAGTTCACACTCTTTTTCGTTCATTCTGCTGACATTTGAAGCAGTTTAAGTCTCACAAGAAACGTGGAATGTTTTGCCGGGATATGAAGGAAATTGTATTTAGATGTTGCACAATCCGACATACCTAAGGATTGTGGGATGTGAAGAAGAGTCGACAATTCAGCAAATAGAGTTGTTGGGAGGAGGGTATAATATTTAATATCGAGAATAATACACTTCAGGATGAATCAAGTGAGGGGACGGGGAGGCAAATGTGATATGGGAACAAGACTTCAATCCAATCCTGATGCAAGCGCTGCCAATTGACATACCACACAACCGTTATAGATTTTGTTTTGCCACTCTTATAGTGATATTCCAGGAAACAAGGACTGTGTGAAAAGCCCGTCCAAGCCGTTTGACAGATGGTTAGCATAGCAAGCAATCAGAGAT